CTTAATATATGTAATCTTATCTAAATTTATTATAAAAGCTGAGGTTTGTTAGTTCCTGAAAAGTTATATTTTAGCTGGTGTCAATGATCTAATGTTGCATTTGGTCAGACTCAGCCCATTGCTTTACTTAAGTATTTTATATTTTCCTTTTACAGCTGCAGACTGAGGAAGGTCCTGAAACACACCAGCAAACCCTAAAACAGACAAACAGTTTACAGATGTTTTTCAGTGGCAGCAGAACTATGACTAAACTTTTGGGTGAAACTTTTTTCATACTTTTATTACTTGTGGGAAAACTTGAAACACTTTTAAATAAGTATAAAGAATGGCATTGGTTTTGTACATTTAATTTTTGTTTAACGTTATTAATAAAAATGTTGTTCAATTAGCATGTTTTTGTGTTTTGATTTGGTGCCGAAATTGGTACCGAGAACCGTGGATTTTCACTGGTATTGGTACCGAATACTGAAATTTTGGTACCGTGACAACACTATATTTAAACAAATACTTTTCTCCCTAATTTTAAGGGTTGATTTAGTACATTTTAAATATTACCTTGTTGAGAGTTTGCAGAGCAGTTGTAGCCGCCTCTAAAGCAGGTTCAGCTTTAGCCAGATCACGTTCACATTCTCTCAGTCTTCGTGACACCTCTGCTTGCATGGCAGCCACCTGCAGATGAATAAACACTCTCATATGTGATAGGGAAATATTAAAGCACCATGTTGAAATTCAGTAAAGATACATCTCAGATCTTCCAGCTGTAAGACATTGGTTACAGCTGGAAAAACCTCTACCTTTTGCTCCTCTAGGTCAGCATCCTTTCTCTTCTGGCTCAATCTTTCTGTCTGCAGGCCGATCCTGGCCATGAGAGCCTCAGTTGCCTGGTTCTTCAGTGTCAGTTCCACTTCCTGTGAGTTCAGCTTGACTGTCAGATCATCAACCTGATGTAAATATAGAATGTTGACATTTAGTATATGATAACCTCTTATTAATTCATAATTACCTTCAATAATTCATGATTAAAACTGGCAACAGTTTCTGTTTCTACTCAACTATACAATACCATTCTATTTTATTTATTCATCGTATTTTATTTTTTTATTTATTTCTGTCAGGACCACTATCGTCAAAGATGATTGACAATTAGCATACAGTTTGGATTGGCGGTATGGTTCCGTTCTGGGCAAGAACTCCCTGCGCATCCATGCAGCCTAGCATGGATGAGCGAGAACCCCCCTAGGGTAAACAGAACAGAACCAACATAAATGTATTGCAGATATCGTTAAAGTTCAATAATGTTATGTACACATTTTTGAATTATTCTGATTCAAAGGAGAATCAGAAGGCTGAATTCTGACTGACAGAGGAGGAGTTGGGGATGGAGGAGGGTAATTAGCTATCGAGCAATGCAAAAACTGCTGATACTACTGCGGGACCTTATATATGAATACTTAGATAGGTGTCGTATTCCCATAGGTTGATGGGGATCAGCTGAGAGTCAGCTGATGCGAGCTTGACTAACGTGACCTGCCAGAACTGACGCTACGCTAGATTTTTGGAGATATTAATATATGTATTATGCAAAGATGCATTCATTTGATTAAATGTGACAGTAAATTGTTATAATGTTTCAAAAGATGCTGTTGAATTAATTCAAGTTTACTGAAAAAACTAATTTTAAAAAACAGCACAACGGTTTTCAATATTTATAATAATAAGAAATTATTCTTGAGCTCCAAATCAGCATATCAGAATAATTTCTAATGGATCATGTGACACTGAAGATTGGAGTAATGGCTACTGAAAATTCAAAATTCCTCTTTTTCATCAAAGAAATAAATTACTTTTTCAAATTTATTAATCAATATTAAATATATTTTGTTTTTACTGCTCCCCCCCTTAAATAAATGCAGCATTGGTGAGCATAAGAAGCTTCTTTCAAAAAACATAAAACATAATTGGGCCAAAAAGTGTAAGACTACTAATTCTAATTGGATGTTATTATTATTTTTTATTCAAATTATATTATATTATTAACTTTTTGGTTAAAAATGTGAATTTTTAAAAAACGCTATTTTTTTTTTTTTACGTATATCCAGGTTTAAATTAGAATTTTTAATGTGTCCCATACTTTTAAAGGTAAGATTTCACAAATTTCTTAGAGCACTTTTAACAAACACAAAATGTAATGATCAAATTTAATCTCATAATCAAAGTTCGCCAAGACCTCACAAACAGCTTTTTACAACTTACTAAAAGTTGTAAAAGCAACTTTTTTTAAATCTAGATCCCATTACCAGGTAAAACTCTGCAACATTTGAATACTAAACCCTATATCACAAAGGCAAGCAATCATCAGACTATCAGACGTTTACGAGTCCCTCAGCCTTCGGTGAGTGATCTTGGGCATATTAACTAGCAGTAACTACATTCCTTCGCAATTCCACGACTCCAGCCTTGAGGAGCCTACACTGGCCGGTTACGAACTCTGTGGTGTCGATGAGATGCTCTACACACCTGAGAGGCCGTCGTCTTGAGTTTCTGAAGGCCACACTGAAGCCTGCCGTGTCTCAGATGCAGTTCCCTCTCTCTCTTTCCCAGCAGACTCTCGTAAAGCCTCAGCTGCTCCAGGAAGCTCTTGGGCGTGCTGTAGTTGTGCCTCCTCTCATTGAGGCAGTAACGCTCGCTAACCCGCTTGACACTCGCATGAGCGTGGGCCATGAAAAGACTGATGGATTCCCGAACGGCCGGCTGTAAAGACGAGAGTAAGAGAGGGTAAGAGAGGGACCTGTTCGGATTAAATGCTCTTTAACATCCTCGGCTGTCACAGACCCTGAAATATGATCTTCATAAATCCTGAATTCATCTCCAAGTTTGTATGCCTTTTTCTGGCTTCTGGACTTACTCAATCTGAAATTTAGGTGCAGGGCGCCGGGGGGAAGATTAAGCAGGTAGAGGGCTGGGAAAATAATGGCCGAGGTTGGTGACACCCTGTATAAAGTAGGGCGAGTGTTTAGGTCACATCGCTTCTAACTTTCTGAGACTGCACGTTGTGTTTTGTTTATTGGTTATTTATGATGTACACTGCTGTCTGATGACTGACTCATTTATCAGACTGTTAAAGATCAATTCTCGCAAAGGCAAATGCATTTTAAAAGATGCAAGAACACAGATCATAATTCACTGAAAAGCAATAAAACATGTACATGTGGCTGGCACAAAAAAAGAAAAAAAGAGATGGTTATAAATGAAGATCTGACATAATGCTATTTGATAAACAATGTATTGAGTTAAATGCATGTAAATAATCCATCAATCTCTTAAACTCAAAGGTCACGGTTACCTGTGTCAGAAAAAATTTAATATTTTTTTTCTGCTGTTCTGCTTTTTACACTTATATACACATTTAGATAAAAAATCTTGCACAAAGGTGGGATTTGATCATTAATCTAATCCAAGAGCAAATGCATAAAAGATTTAGAAATATAGTCATTTAAAATATAAAAATAGTTAGAATGGCTTTAAGAACTGTTTCTTCCAACATACATTTAAAAGTTTTGGAGTAGCAATTCAAAAGGGTGGCTAAAGTGACGTGACATGTGGCCAAGTATGGTGACCCATACTCACAATTAGTGCTCTGCATTTATCCCATCCTTAGTGCACACACACAGCAGTGAACACACACACACCGTGAACACACACCCGGAGCAGTGGGCAGCCATTTTTTGCTGCGGCACCCGGGGAGCAGTTGGGGGTGAAAGTGAATGTGTTAAGAAATGCAAAGAATCATATACAATTCTTTTCAGCACTTTTAGTGCATTAATTTATTTTGACATTATAACTGCTATATTCTGTTCTGTGTGATTTCTAAAACACTGATTAAACCTTTTGGAACTAGTACAAAAGTCCCTAGTGTATTACTCATTTATGAGTAAATGATGGGTAATTTATTAAAAAAATAAACCTAGTCAAATGTTTACTAAAAGTAAAGTAATTTGCATTGTTTGTATATAGAAATTTAATTGACATCAAAGCTCATCATGTGAAATATCACCCATCAGCAAAACTTTATTCATTAAAATTCAATACCAGGGAAGAACTGCAGGCCATCAGCAAAAGCATTTTAACACATGTGAAATTAATTACTTAATTTTATTATTATTATTATTACTTTGTGTGTGTGTGTGTGTGTGTGTGTGTGTATGTATGTATGTATATATATATATATATATATTGTGGCGAGTATCCCGAGTCCAGATCAGCGTCGCCCTGGAAACGCCGCTGCCACACTGATCACAGAAGCACAACACCTGTGCGTGATGAGTTGCGCACCTGGAGCTCGTTCCCGCTGGCCATAAAAGCCAGGAGAAGAGACACCAGGGGGAAGGCACCCCGGAGCTCCAGGCGACATTAAAGGTCCCATGACATGCTGCTTTTTGGATGCTTTTATATAGGCGTAAGTGGTCCCTAGTACTGTATCTGAAGTCTCTTTCCCGAAATTCAGCCTTGGTGCAGAATTTCAGCCACTACGAGCCAGTCCCACAATGAGCTTTCCTTAGGACGTTGCATTTCTGTGTCTGTAGCTTTAAATGCTAATGAGGAGGAGAGAGGCGGGGCAACTGCCATGCTTCGCTTCCGGGGCTCTTTCGATCAGTACCGAGTCTGTGTTCTCATTCACCCCGCGACATATGGTGGAGAATGCGGGCATTACAGGTGAATTGAGACACGGACTTGTACCGCCAGGTTGCTGTAACGATCTCTGTGCTTCTAGGAGAAACCGCATTCTTCCCCCGGACACATGGAAGAGGTCATCCGCCGCCTAACGGAGGTCTCGGCCCGCCAGCAGCAGTTTACCGAACGACTGGCAGCCCGGCAAGAGTATACTGACCAGGTCGTGGAACAGCTGCAGGCCAGCGTGGCGGGGCGCATGCCCCTCCCGGAAGCGCCGGTCAAAGCGCACCAATACCTCGTCCGGTTGACCGAGAACGACGACATCGAGGCTTACCTCCACACGTTTGAGGTTATTGCGGCCCGGGAGGGGTGGGTCCAGGAAGAGTGGGCTCATCATCGCCCCCTTCCTCACCAAAGGATATTGGCAGGTGCCCCTCTCCCAGGAGTCCCGGGAGAAGACAGCCTTTAGCACTCCCAATGGCCACTGGCATTACCGGGTGCTACCCTTCGGCCTACACGGGGCACCAGCCACGTTCCAGCGGTTGATGGACATCTTGCTCCGGCCCCACCAAGCCTACGCCGCGGCTTACCTGGATGATGTCGTTATACACTCTGAGGGCTGGGAGACTCACCTGGAGCGTCTACGGAGGGTGTTGACGGAGCTCCGGCGGGCTGGCCTGACGGCCAACCCCAAGAAGTGCCACCTCGGCCTCACCGAAGCAAAATACCTGGGGTACAAGATTGGAAGGGGGCTCATCATGCCCCAGGAACAGAAGGTCGAGGCGGTAAAGGAGTTCCCACGTCCCGCCAACAAGACGCAGGTATGGGCCTTTTTGGGATCCTCTATAGCCTGCTCCCTGTCAGACCTTACCAGGAAGGGGCAGCCGGAGAGGATAGACTGGACTCCCGAGACCGAAGCCGCCTTCCAGGCCCTCAAGACGGCCCTGACGTCCTCCCCGGTCCTGCATGCCCCAGACTTCGGCTGCCCCTTCACCCTATATACGGACGCCTCCGGCACCGGTTTAGGGGCAGTCCTCTCCCAGCTCCGGGATGGAGAGGAACACCCCGTAGTCTACATAAGCCGGAAACTCTCCCCCGCGGAGACCAGGTACGCAACGCTGGAGAAAGAGGCCCTGGCCATAAAGTGGGCAGTCCTGGAGTTGAAATACTACCTCTGGGGCCGCTGGTTCACCCTCGTCACCAACCATGCGCCCCTACAGTGGATGTCCAGGGTGAAGGGCACGAACGCCCGGGTGACGCGGTGGTTCCTCGCACTCCAGGACTTCTGCTTCCAGGTACAACATCGGACCGGGGCCGAGGCAGGTAACCTCAAATCCCCCCCCGTAATACCCCCACAACGAGTTGTGTGTTTCCCCACAGGACCAGGGCGACACCTAGGGGGGGGGAATGTGGCGAGTATCCCGAGTCCAGATCAGCGTCGCCCTGGAAACGCTGCTGCCACACTGATCACAGGAGCACAACACCTGTGCGTGATGAGTGGCGCACCTGGAGCTCGTTCCCGCTGGCCATAAAAGCCAGGAGAAGAGACACCAGGTGGAAGGCACCCCGGAGCTCCAGGCGACATTAATGCTTGTTTTCCTTATTCACAGGCTCCGACGGCACCCC